CAATATTAGCTGACATTTCCACAGTACTTATACTTCCCAGGTACTGTGTTTCTCTACTGTTAGCTGGAAGGAGACCTTAGAAGCAAAACAGTACACAGGTAAAGCTCAGGGTAAAGATTATTGACAAATAGGAATGCCTAGCACCAAACCATTCAGTGTCTAAGGAAATATTCTACCTTGGAAGTACTGTTCTTTGCTTTCCTCTGAGGCTCTGTACTCTAGCTCCCTTCATGGATGAAAAGAGAACTTACCATGTGGTTACTTAAATTGTGTATGTATGTAATTCCCCCCCTAGACCAGGAGTCCCTTTAATTTCTGAATCCTCATCAGTGACCACAGTGTCTGGCATACAGTAGGCACTCTATAAATGTTTACTGAACAAATATTTTGTTCATTAAATATTTTGGTTAATAAATAGTTACATCAAAGGCAGATGACCCATTTCCAAAGAATTAGAATGTAATAAAACAGACTCTTGTGGTAGATTATCATTTGACAATGCTCAAACGATAATCTTCCCCACCTCGAGGCAGAAGTACTTTTCCAACTCTTGATTCTGGGCTCTGTGAAATGACTTACATTGGTTAACGGGCTGTTAGCAGATGTGAAGCAAGTGGGGTCTTGAAATGTGCTTGCACCCTTGGGTTTCTCCCATGCCAGGAAACACGGTCTGGCCAGCCTAATGGTCCAAGGAGGATGTGAGAATTTGAAACACAACCCAGACCAACTTGTTGCTTGGAGACACCCTACTGAGCTCACCTGAGATCAGCTCACCCAGCAGACTTGCATCAGAGTCCCAATAAATATGTACTAATTACTGCAGCCTGTGAGATTTTGGAGTTGTTTTAATGTGGCAATCGCTGATACAACCCTCTACTAAAAATTCACAAACTATAATTTTGTTGTCTTTTTGTTTAGGAAGGTGAGTCACAGACTCCGGTTTTAGACTACTTCTGACCCTGTTTCCTTACCTATAAAATCTATAAAGTTGTTATGAGGACTAAATGAGATAATCCAGGAAAAATAGTACAGCCCCTGGCACATAGAAAGTGCTCAGCATGTGCCATTATTATTATTATTATTGTTATTGTTATTGTTTCTGGATCTGGGGCGTCTGCTTTAAACAGCAGTTGTCATTGGCTGTGGGGATATGCCAGTGAGTAGGTAGCTTCTAATAACAGAATGTAAAGCGACAGAACACCTACTCTATACTGATGCATGCCCTTCCAAAATGACCTAAGCTGCACTTCCCTACCTTCTGCCAAAGAGCGAAGGCACCACTGCTAGTTTACTACAGTCAATTAATTGTCGACGCAGCTGTCCTGGGGGAGGTGAAATCAGTGTCCTCTCTTGTGTCCTGTGATGTGAGAGCCTAAGATGTGGGTGAGAGTTTGAATCTGCTAACACTCAGGCTGTGGCAGGCTGCCAGCAGGGCACTTAGCATAGTCTCCCCTGCCCTCCCATCTGTCTTCCCTCCTCACAGACTCTTATGCCACTGAATGCTAACAGGAAAAATGTATAGGATTTGAGAATACCCAAAACATGAGCGAGAACAGCAACCAAACAGAATGTGTCTCATGAGGTCACCTCACCTCCACGCTTCTTCTACCCACACATCTACCCAGGGCAGCTCGTTTTTGTCCCACAGTAGGCTAAACTATGAAAATGTCTCCATGACCAACCCACCCCCACAAAAGATTAAAGAGAAGTATTCCCAAACTATGATATATACTATGATATCTCCACAAAGAGCTACATGCCGGCATGGGCTCTGACAGTCTCGAATTTAACTCCAGCTTCTAAACCCTTAGGATCTGATGGTAAATTCTTCAAATACTGGTGTTGTCCTGTCCTCAGAGTGTCAGGAATCTACTGATGTTTGTCCAGGGATGGGACACGTTTCTCGAGGCTCAGATGAATCTTAGAAAATAGAAAACAAGCTATCCCGTGTTACATAATCGGGCTGGGAAAACATGTTTCATATTAGAACGGCAGCCAGCAATTTCCTAGGACTCAGACAGAGGTCTGGGTTGTTCATTTGGCTCTGGACCTGCTTAAGAATGACAATATTTTAACCTCTCTGTTTCTGCTCAAAGACACATTAAGCTGCCCCCTCTGTCACTCTCATGCCTCTTTGTATAGTGTACTCTGTCTTCTACTCTAGAGAGGATGAATAGATATCAAAGCATGCGAATGATTACGCTTCTCAGAGAGGTTACGGAGATCAATAAAATGTTTCTGACACAAAAAGGAAATGAAAACGAAGAGATATCAAGGTCCTTAGAAACAGAGCAGATCCATTCAAAAGTACAACACAACCAGCTGTATAATCAAAAAGGCAGTCCCTTCGAGTCTATCATACCTGTCTTGTTCTCAGTAAATGCAAAGGTAAATGCCCTCTAAATAGCGCCCCAGCCCTGGCCCATCCTGCTCTCTCAGGGCTGGTCACTCCCCTCCTAGCTCTTATTTCACGATGATTCAGTGCCGAGTTTGAGGGGGAAATGCTGGGGGTTGGCAGAATTGTGTCCTGGTTATAAATGGGGGCTGTGGAGGCCGACAGATTTGGGTTCAAATTCTGGCTCCTCCACTTGACCTTGGCCAACATATACAACCTCTCTCAGTTCCAGTTTTTATTTGCGACGTATAGGTATACCTCCATCACTGGGTGGTCATGGGGGTTCAGTGACACATACATGCACCACACTCACTGGTGCCCAGACCACAGCAAACACCCAGCAGAATTTTACTGGGTGGTGGGTGGGTGGGTGCGTGAGGCAGCAGAGCTGCTTCATCCTGTGCAGTCCCACAGGACCCTGAACTTCAAAAGGCCCTGCATTTGATTTAATGCTCTGTTGTCGCTATACTGGAATTCTTTATAACTTTTGATCAAGGGGCTCCACATTTTTGTTTGTTACTGCGCCCTGCAAATCATGGTGCCGGTGCTGCTGAGCAGCCACCCGGGGGCCAGCCGGGGCCCTCCAGGAGTCTTTGCCATCTGATAAAGTTATAAGACAAACCAGCATGACCCCACATCCGGGTACTCTGGCAATGACACCACATTTGGAACAAAGTCAAAGGTGGAAATATTTGTACTAAACCTGCACCATTTCTTAGCAAGCTTCCAATTATTATTATTAAAAAAATTAAAAATAAAAAATAAATAAAAAAATAAAGCAACCTTACCACTGGTGATAAAGGTTCTTCCTCATTTCTGTTGTTTCCTTCCTCCATCTCAGGGAAATGCAACACTTAGCAATAAGCAGTTTAGTAAACTTGGGACTGTGTGGGCTCAAAAAATGAATACTTTTTCTCTTACCTTCTAAGTTCTAGCTGGACAAACAGGCAAATTAAAAGAGATGGATTAACAGGAGAAAATACAATTTTTAATACATGTGCATAGGGAATTCACATATGCATGAAAAGTCCAAGGATAGTAAGGCAACTCTGCGTATATATGATATTTTGGACAAAGGAGAAAAGGGAAGGAACAGGGTGTTAGATTTCAGAAGTGAGACTGAGTGATTTACAGGTTGTTAAGGAAGAGCAGAACGCGTGTGGCAGGCAAATACTTGCTAGGCAACTCAGAAACAATGGGACATAAGGCTTTAGAGCTAACAGGCTCCTGCCTGAAACCCTCCTATTTACCATAACTTAATTCAAATTAGGCGAAGGTGAACACTCTAACACTGTCTTCCTAAAGCAGGTTTTTCTATCAAAATCTCTTGGGAAAGGGGGAGGGTCAAAGGTTCTTTCTGGGTCTTTTGTTTCCTAATAAGCAGCTTAACATCAATATTCCAAAAAGTGGCTTCAGCGTGGCAAAACTTTGATCCCCTTCAGGAGCAGTAAAATGGGCATACTCAGCTCCTCTCCCGCTTTCTCCTTTCCTTGGAGAGGGCGTGGTGGTGTCCATCCTAGGCCAGCCAGCTGCAACAATGTGAGTCTAATTCTTGGGTTTAATACTAGGAGAACCCACTCACCCTGAGCATGCCCTTCAACCAGCTTTATCAATAACAGCAGTGATATTTTGACTTGCATCAATTATTCCTTTGCCTTACTCCTCAATCCGTTCAGTTCTTGGCTGGGAAGAGGGTTGCTATTTAACGGACACCCTCAACGACCCCAGCAACCACATGAAGCCCTGCCATCCATCTGTGACTTAGGACAATATTTAATTAAAATGCCTCATTAAAAGTTTAACTTATTATGAAGAAATAATAGAGACACTGGAGAGAATCAGATTCATAGCATCTCCAAGCTGCAAGGCACTGATATAACCTACTCCAGAACCCTTGGTTCAAGAAGAACATCCAAAGAGGTTAAAAGCCTGGTGCCTTGGAGTTCAAACTTTAGTGTACATCAGAGTCATCTGGGGACTTGTTAAAACACAGATTTCTTGGCCCCAACCCTTCTGAGTTTTGGATTCAGATGATCTGGGGGTGCAGTCCAAGAATGTGCATTTCTACCGAGTTCCCTGGTAGTGTTGATAGTGCTGGTCCAGGAACCCTACTTTGAGAACCACTGGCATAAAATGAGTCAGTCTGTTCCAGAGCAGGAACCGGAACCCAGGTGCCCTGCGTTCCAGCCAAATGCCCCTCCTTGATCCATCCTCTTGCCTCACGTCTGCACCCTCCTCAGCCCTGGAAGTCCCCCTGGCTGCAGTTTTCATACCTGCACTCTCCACCTGAGCTGAACTTGCTCTCCTTGCCAAAATGATGTCTATAATAAGCCTTGAACTTTCTAGAAAAAAAGTGCTTTAACAATACTAAGTATTTCTGGCATGAACACATATTATGAGAGAGTGTTTCATGAAGAAAAATTATAGGTCCAGCACGCTTCCGCTGCACAACTCTGCTATCTTGCTATCTTATGAAGGATAAGCTTAAAGCAAATGCCATCACGCCAAGACCAAGAGCCCAAAACAGTGACCAATGTTTTTCTCATACTTTTATGGTGTTATTTATGTCTCTGTTTATTTTGCTATAAACAAACAAGAAAGCTGCATATACATATCCAGAGTATTGGTAGCAAAGTTTTTTTCAAGTCCATCTTCTGTGAGCTTGCTTTTATTGACCATACAACCTGCATTATTGATCTAGAAATTACAATTGCCATTTCAAAATAAAAGAAAATAGGGCCAAAGGACCTGTTTCCAAACCCCACACCTCCACTGCCACCACTGGTCCCACATTCAAGTGACGACCACAGTTCTGCTCAGCTGTCCTTTCACTCCAAACCCCTTCTAGGAGAATGGCACTTGTGCAGAAAGCTCACTCACAGAACTGTGAAGAGATCTCCAGTTATGAGGGCTTGGCTGGGCAACCTAATCCATAATAAGGTGCTCTAGGAATCTGTCTAGACCAGTGTCATCCAATAGAAATATGTAATTTTAAGTTTTCTAAAAAGTAGCCCCATTAAAAAGGTAAAAAGAAACAGGAGAAATTAATTTTAATAATATATTTTATTTAACTCAATATATCCAAAATAGTATCATTTCAATATGTAATCGATATAAAAATATTAATGAGATAGTTATTTTTTTCCACACTAAGGCTTCAAAATCGGCTGATTTTTACACTTATAGTATGTCTCAGTTTGAACTAGTTACATTTCAAATGCTCCATAGCCAGACCGGACAGCACAAGACCGAGCCTTAGCCCACACGGGCATTTAGGAGCACTTTAGAAACTATTTGGGTAGAAAAGCAGTTCAAAGTGAAATATCTGAGAGGAGCAGTTAGGCATCATCCAACCTGCATCCCCAGCTTTCTGTGGAGTCCCACGCTGACCGTGTTACTAAAAGAATTGCTTGTCTGCAGCAGGCATTCTTCTGGACTAAGCTTTTTATTTTTATTTTTCCCTGAGTCTCTAATGTTAATACACCAATCCCCAAATTTAGAGTTCAGAATTCAGATATAAAAATCGTCATTTTATGAAAAATCCTCCCACAGTACGTACACTGCAGAAGGCCCCTTCCTTTCCCCACAGATCTAACCTGCGTGCTCATTTGAGTGAATCTGGCGAGTGAACACAATTGCATGAACAGGCCTCACTGTAAAAGATTCTTATTAAGGGGTCAACATAAAGACCCTAAAACATACTTACTTATGAGTCCACATTCACATAGACGAAAAGGTACACATGAGATTTAGCCTCTATTAATGCTTATAAAGCTTATCAGAACATTGAGTTTATGTTTCCGCTTGAAATTTTCAACAAATTTCCAGATTTTCTTGGGATCAGACAAGTCCACAATGAGCAAAAAGATGTTCTGAACCAGGATAGGAAAAAAAAGTGGTAAAGCTCTTTAAAAAAAGATATAAACTAGTATTTCTTAAATTAAAAAAAAAAACACATGTCCATGGTTTTAAAAATCAAGTCGTGTAGAATGATACAAAATGGAAAGTAAGTCTCACGCCTCAGAAATAAACCATTGTTCATAATTCCTTATGAACCATCCAAAAAATTTTAAGCATTTTAAATATAATATTTATATTTAAATAATACATATGGATATATGTTTTAAGTATTACATATACACATATATTAAACATAATATATATTATATATTCTAAACATACTATATATATAATACTATAATACTATAATACTATGTCTATATATGTATGTGTGTCCCCGCTCCACATGAATAAGATCAGACTATATATATCCTTTTTCAGTTAGCAATATGTTTTGGAGATAAATCTACCTTATTTCTTTTAATGGCTATATGACATACTTTTGCATGGATCTGTCAGTTTCCTGCTGCCAATCACTTAGGGGTTTTCGTCAAGATTGTGCTCGTAAGACAATAACTAAGGCATATTATAACTATGACAACTTCCTCTGTGACTCAGTCCTTGCTCAGAATGCACATCAATTTCTGCTATGTGTTAAGGTTATCTCTGGACACAGTTCCTTTCTCTATTACACTGAGAACTCGTTGATGGAGGAACCATATCGAATGCCCCCTTTTCCTTTATGGTGGGACACACGGTCATACACGTTGATGACTAACGTACGTTGGCTTTTGAGCCCTTTTCCTCTGTACCCAGCACAGAATCGAACTTGATTCTCAGTATCCAGTGAACGCAAGGACATCCCCTCTGAGCTCCTTATCACCAACCCCAGGCAGAGGTTCTTGCTGCTGCAGAGACTTGAGAACCAAACCTACAGATCTGATTCTGAGCGACAGCCATGACTCCTTTGATAAAGCAGAGTGTGGCACCCTGCCTCAGTTTCCCCATTAACTGAACTATAGAACCCAAGGCTGTACTCGGGGTTTCTTTCTACTGATCTTAAAACATAGTTTTCTCACCTTGAGACAAAGGCTCAGAGAATAAGAAAACAGAGCAAACCCACATTTTCATGACTCAAAGTCTATAGACAGCTTGAATATTTGGCTTAAGTCTAACACAATTGAAATGTTCCTCTACCTTCAAAGGCTGGGAAAAAGACTGTCTGTACAGGACTATGTTCTTTTAAAAAGCCTCTGAAGGCCCTTGCTCAGCCAGAGCGGACATAGGCTACACACTCACACCTGAGCTGGCACCGAGCCTCCACCAGTGACTGCAAACTGAGTCTAGACACCTAATCCTTTCATCCTGAGGCCTTTTCCACAACCGCCCCCAAACTCCCTCCCACCCAACCATACTCCCTCCCACCCAAGCTTACCACTCATAAAAAATCTAGGTTCAAAAAACAGCAAAATTCAAGTGAACTAAAATCAAATCTACTTTCAACATTCCACAACCTCCTTCAGCTTTACTAGGAGCACCACGGTGTCTCACTCGGCATTAAAAGGAGGGAGTGGCAGGGAACAGAAAATCACTGTCCCAGACAAATCAACCATGGAGCCTAATGAAATGAAGCATCATGTAAAGATGAAGGAAAACATCTGTCTCCTCTGGGAGAAAACAGGAGACCAGAAAGCAGCCAGAAGGAGTGGCCAGCAGTCTACTGTGACCAGGAGGAGGCACCAGGAACAGAAGCATATGTGTAAAAACCTTGACTGCTGACCTACATATGACAAGGCTGGCCCTAGGAGCCACTGGTCCCCACCGTACTAACTCTGAAACCCTGGATACTAGTATTAAAATCGGAAAAAACTCAACTGGACCTTTTCTGTGGATGATCCACCATCTAGCTGCTGTGCGGTCCAGGAGTCATGGGAACTCCTCTACTCATGTAAGAGGGTGAGTCTGACGAGCAAATGAGAAACAGTGCATGAAGGTGCCCTCAGAAGTAGAAATTGCTATGTAGGAATGAGGTGGTAGTTAATATCAATGCTGAGTACTCAGAAAGCTAAACCAATAATTTTCAAGAAATTAGAAATCCACATTGGCCTGGAAGAGAGACAGTAGAAACCCTTGTTTTTTATCTCGGTGTTTTGATGTAGACGGGGTCAGTTCACACAAGACATAGGGCATATTTACAGCATCTTCTAGCCACATCAGGAGTGTGGCAGGAGTTAAAATGTTGCCCAAGCACTGTAGCTCTGTGATCTTTCTCCTTAAAACCCATAACTCCATTCTAATCATGAGAAAAACATCAGACAAATCCTAATTGAGGGACAGTATACAAAATGCCAGAGCAGTATGCCTCAAAACTGTCAAGGTCATCAAAAGCTAGGAAAGTCAGAGACACTGTCACAGCCAAGAGGAGAAAAGGAGACATGACCACTAGGTGCAATGTGGTATCCTGGATGGGACGTGGGAACAGAAAAAGGGCACTAGGTAAAAACTAAGGAAACTGAGAGCAGATGGACTTTAGTTAATAATAATGTAAATGAATCATACTAACGTAAGATGTTAACAAGGGGGAAACTTGGTATGAGGTAAATGGGAACTCCACTATTTTTGCAATTTTTCTGTGCATCTAAAACTATTCTAAAATTTAAAAGTTCGTTTTAAAAAAAATGTTGACTAAGACGACAAAAGTCTGGTGTCCCTCTACCCAGGCAGCAAGATGGTAATGAACTGTAATGAGCTGAAGCAGGAGGTTCCACTCTGATTTTCTCCCACAGAACCACTGGGAGCACTGAGCCAGGGAGAGTGGGCTGGTGAGCAGGGAGTGTGCTCTGTGACAAGCACTCCCTCCCCAAGCCTGTGCCACACACACCCTCCCCAGAAAGAGCACCTTGGCAACACGAACAAGCAACTGATTCCCACCAGACATTGTGCCTTCCCTGGTGCCCGCTTGCCCATGCTCACCTGACTCAGCTGGCCTGCCGCGCAACCTACCCAGGCCCCCCTGTCCAAAGGACCACTGCTCTCTGATGTCCATCTGACTATGCAGCCAGGACCAGTCCCTCCAGTGCCCTCACTGCTCTACCATGGGTGTCTTCTGCTTCTGGGAGCTTGCCAGCTCCCAGCCCCCTCTGGAACAGCGCAGAACTAGGGAACTTAAAGCAGAGAGGTTGGGAGTGGTAATATTAGTTATCAGTAAATAAGATTGATAACACCAATTATAATAGCTTCTCCTCCTGGTTAAGAGCTGTATGTCCTACAATACAATGAACTTCCTTTGTCATAGCTCTTATGTTATGTCTGTCAGGGTCTAACAGAAACCTCTTTCAACAGAGGAAACTGAATGCAGGGAGGGGATGAAACAAGGTGAGAACTCAGTGGGACAGGAGACATAATTCTGAGGTCAGTAACAGCAGGAAGCTCCCAGCCCTGGGCTGGAGGAACAACGGAGGAGGTGGGATGGGAGCCAAGCCCAGGAGCCAAGGTGTCCTCCAGAAGGAAAATCCACAAAAGAGATTCTGCCATTGCAAGGGAAGCCAAATGTCCTTTTTCCGCCTTCCAACCACTACCCATCTTCCTCTGATACCCCGCACAGGCCAAACCCAGCCAGAAGCTGGCTGATGTGGGAGTTGGAGAAACACAGACTGCGGGGTCCACACCATCCACCCGCACTGTGGCACAGCTAGGCAGGCAGGCCCAGAGTGGCAGACAGGCTTCATGAAAAACGCTTGTCAATCACTTGACTCCTCCACAAGACTGAAAGGGGCTGTAACTGTCTCTCTGTCATCGCCAGCTCCTAATACATTGCCTGACATATGGTTCGCTCTCAAATATATGTACAACGATGAATAAAATAGTGTCACCACTGTTTTTCAGATGAGGAAACTGAGGTTCTGAGAAGCTAAAAACCTTGCCCAAGTTCACAAGGCTAGTGAGTACAGACCCAGGACTCAATTCAGAGCCCAACTCCTACCCACTCTCATGCTGTTTGTTTGGGGGCTGTGAGTTGCTGACCAGATGAAGCCGTGCAACGGTGCCTGTCAACAGACAAGGAGGAGTAGCTGATCCCTGGCAGAGCCTGGAAGATACACTGAGTCAAGGAACCCATACCCACAAGATGAGCAGACAGGCACTGAGCCCTGGACCCTCCAAGCTCTCAGTGCTGGAGGCCACTTAGAAATACAAAAGCAGAGGGGATTTCCCATGTGTATGTTCAAATCCCATCTTGTGTATGTGTATAGGGGGTGGGTGGGCAGTAGGTGAAGGGCTCCCTGTCTCCTGACCCCAGGAAACATGTTGGCTCCCCTTTAAGCTCTATATCTCTCCCCAAAATGGTGAAATTGGATATAAGGATAGCTCATTATAAATAGACCATATTGTCATTTTGTCCCATACAAATCTACTTCATAATAAATGTGGCCCAAACCACAGCAGCTTGGAATCCAGGCGGATCCTCCTCTGCCAGTGGTCCGAGATTAGTATTCTTGTTGCATCTTATAGCAGCACAACCAAAAGTTATCAGCAGGCAGACAGCCAGCTTTCAATCTCGAGAACTGCAGCCCAGATCGCAGCGGCACTTGCAGACATTAGAGGAAGATTTAGACCCCCTCATGCTCACGCCAGCACTGAGCCTCTGTTGGGCATCTAATGGTGTGAGACTAGGGGTTTCTGGTGAGAAGGGAAAGGAACAACTCCTCACTTTGAAAATGCTATTGAAAAAAATAATAGCCTTCATGAGCAGATGCAAACTATTCCATTCTAGATTGGGGGATTCTTTTTTCTTTGGCCACGGCCCAAGCCTGAGGGAGTAGAGGTGCTGTCTTCCCCTTCCCAGACTCCTTGCATCAACTCCTCAGTTGTGGGCAGTGACTGGGGCAGCAGCAGCAGCAGCAATGGGGGGGCGGGGGCGGGCGGGGGCGGGTGCCGGAGAAGCAGGTTCACAGGAGAGAGGAGGAAGCCGAGGTGGGGGAGGAATGGAAGGAGCATGTTTTCTAGTGAAAGTAAGGGGCCTGTGGTCACTGAGGGCCGTCCCCAGGGGCCCCTTCTACTTAACAGTGAGGTTTTGGGTTTCCCACCCCGGGCCAGCTTCACAGGGTACGACCTGTGCAGCTGCATAGGCCCCACATTCAGAAGGTCCCCATGCTTGTTTCAATGCTCTGCCTTCACTGTCTTGAAATTCTTAATTTTACACAAGGGTCCCACACTTTCATTTCGCACTGGGTCCCGCAAATTCTGTGGCTAGTCTCGGTTCTCTCTCAAAAGAGGAAGATGATAAAATACGAGCTATGTCCGAAAGCTCTTGTTAGAACGTGACTCTCGGCAAGACCAAAATGTTGTTTGTTGTCTTCTTTATTGGAAAGTCTTTGGCTTGTTTTACAGCTTGGTTCAAGGCACCTGAGTCACCCTTGACACCCCAGCAGGGCCCTTGTCTGGTATGATATCTCCACAGCAGGGATGGGCCCCTGCCTACTGGTTTCAGGGGCAGCCCAGAGTGACGGGTCAAACCTCACAGCCCCAGTTATCCGGGGTCAAACCTAGACATTGAAAAGCAGTGCTCCAGCTCTCTGCTGGCCGCCTGCCTGCATATACAGGCCATGGCCAACCCAGGGAGCACAAGCAGGAGTCCAGATCCCCCAAAGCTGACCCCAGGCACGGAACTCTCAGCAGGAGGGACGAAGAGCAGCTCACCTGATTACCACTCTCCCTGATGATCTCACCTTTGGCACCTTGGACTCCGTCTTTATCTCGACAAACCAGGTGAACTGTGCCACCTGGTGGAATTCAACAAAACACGGTAAGTTACAGAGAGAGCTATAGCTATGGAGACCAGATTTTTCAAATGAAGAATGAAGACATATGGACTCACAGAAAGAATACCTGAAGTTGAGACGATTCTGGCAATCGAGATGGATGGTCCCTGCGGTTAGAGCGGAAGGTATAACAGCTGGGGTCGTGGAACCTGCTCTCTATCTGCACTGACTGACAGTGCACCTGGGGTAACATCCTGATTTTTTTTTTAAAGGGTCTCAACACATGAAGAATATGAAGCGTCAGTCTTGGTCACATCTGCATCCCTAGCATCTTCCATAGTACCTGACAAGAGGTCTAAACCTGGTCATACTTTATACTCACCTGGGGAGTTTTTAAAGCTCTAGATGATAGGCCCAGCCTGGGTATGTTTTTAAAGCTCCCCAGGTGAGTCTAATTTCAGCCCAAGCTGAGAACCACTGGCCTAACATGTAGCAGGGACTTGTAATTGAATCCATAAATAACACTAAGACTATTCTAGCAAAGACTATACTGCCATTAATCAAGGTTTACATAAAGGGGAATGCTTCGGCTGGGGCAGTTAAGAAGTAATCATTATGGAACCTGCTTTCTTCGCTTAAATAGCCTGTTTTATTAAATGGGGTCTGGTTCATGGGAAGCTACAGATAACCAGGTGACCAGCCCAACCCCCTCTCTCCCCTCCCAAACAGTACTTCAGAGTCGCTCCCAGGTGCTAAGATACAGTGGCTCCCCGCCTTGACTTGGCAGATAATTTTACAGTTCCGAGAGGTATAGTATTTCCCTGGATAATGCCTGACTTGATTTTAGAGAACAAAATAAAACATCTTGAGCTTCTTGAAAAGTGATAAATTCCCAACCTCTTTTCCCAGCTTCTACTGGAACATCAATTTTTGCTGAAGAAGAGGCTCTAGAGAGACATGGCAGACTTTTCTAGCCACCACAGTGCCATTCAGTGACCAGGGCAGTTGAGTTCATGCAGGAAATTCTGTCATTTACCCAGAGAGAGACTTCTCCTGATTAAATAATGTGCGGGGCACCCAGAGAGCCTCTGCACGGAATCAAGGTTAGGGAAGTGAAAAAGGAGGCCGTCCCCAGCTGCTCTCACCCTGCGGGCCGGACATCGCGACGGCGGGAAGGAGGGAGGAAGTTCAATGCACTCCCCTCTCCAGTTGTTCTGGGGGCACTGGTTCTTGACTAGGGTCCACAGCCAAATTGCACCAGACTCCCAATCCCTGCCCCCCCACCACCACTTTTTATTAAGGAGACATGAGCTAAGGCCAAATATCCACATTTTTAAAGTTCCACTACTGATTCTGATGCCCAGTGTTGGCTGAGCACCTCACTGCTCTTAATCAGAAAGCATGTGGACAGGACCCAAGCTCTCCTGTGAATTAATTAAGCATTGAGGAAAGGCTCCTCCAGTCACTCGCTCTATCCACCTTTAGGTGAAAGCTCGGGGCACAACTGAGAAAACTGGCAGATGTGCTGATCATCATGAGATTACTGTCCAGGACTTCTGGCCATGCTGGCCGGGCCCTTCTAACCTGCCTGTGACACAGGCACTCTCCCCAATGTAGAGAGGCTGCAGGCTGGCCACAGGGTGCAGTGGACACACAGCAGGCTGCTCACCTCGCTTGGCTATCTCAATGGCAGTTGCTTTTCCAATGCCGCTCTTTCCTCCTGTGACCAAGAAGGCTCTTCCAGCAACTTGAACCTCCAAGTCATCAGGGACAAAATCCTCACATGCAGATTCATAGCCAGTCCTGGAAGCAGCAGACACACAGAAAGAATGGCTGTAAGGAGCTGGGAACACCAATCCATGCAGGGAGAAAGCCTGACTCTGGGGGGGCATTACTGCTCTCTCCCGCATATCACACAGTCCCTTCCTTCTCTGGCTCCCTGCTTCCTTCCCTCATTACACACACAATACCATCTTCTCAGCCCCTACATTTCCTGTACCATTAGCTTCCTGCGCTTTTAAAAATATTTGGAGATTCCAACAATTTGGCATTCAAACTACCTTTCTCTGTTGCCTCTGATACTGGGGAGTGCCCCTCCAAAGCCCCACCTCCAAAAAAACCCCAATCCTCTGATAGATGGATTGTTTTTCCTTTGTCCCATTTTGGGGGTGGGAGAGGGGACCATTAGCATCATGCTTACTGTATGGCAGGACAGGGATCCCTATGCAGCTATAGAAGAATCACTGCAAAGTGGGAAGATGTGCAAGTAGAGAATGAAGGAGGAGGGGGGTAGTTACTTGAGCTCTGCACCCCCTCAGGGAGTGAAGAATCTTTCAGGGCTATAGGGTATGTGCTGCACAACTCTAGGGGGCATCATTAGGAAGACAGTGATGGAGATGTGTATCTGCATTAGGACTTTATGGCAAATCAAATCGAGGAGGAGACGCTTTTTCTAATTTTCACAAAAGCATCATAATGAATAGATGCAATGCTGAGTTCCTTAACTGTTTCTCTCTGCCTTTTGACATACTTCTTCTACCTTTACTTTCCTAGTATTTCTTGGTCACAAAATTGGCAGAGGGCAGTGGAGGCAGAATGGAGGCCCACTGGCAGGAGGAGGCCCTGAGGGCAGAGCTCTTCCCACACAGGGCTGGCTGGGGTCTCAGAGCCTGTGTCTTTGACTCAAGGAGCCCAGTGGTTTCTCCTAGCAACACAGAAAGTGACTCTCTCCCCTGAAGGTTCTGCAGGAAGCCCAGCACCCTTCCATAGGCTGCCAACAGCTGGTCTCCTGTCCCAGTTCAGCACAACTGCCAACTACATGCCTGACACAGGTGAAGAGGCCAGAGAATGTTTATGAGCTTTCGGAAATCATTGCCACAGGGGAGGTCATCACCCCTTGTCTGAGTCAGGAGACCAATAAGAATGTCCCTGTTCCCAAGTCTGTAACTTGCCTGAAGGATTGGGGCAGCTCGGGGAACACCCTGCCCATTGCTTCTGCTGTTAGTGGCCCACTTAGCGAGGTAAGCAAGACGTCTGACTATTCTAAACCTTCTTGAAAGGCTGACTTGAAACTAAAAATAATATCAGTAACATGGGTTTTGGATAGGACCCCTGGGTTTAGATCACAGTCTGCTTCTTAAAGCTGTGCAGTCTCGTGTTGGTTTCACCTTTCTGAGCTCCTGTCTCCTCATCCGCAGAAAGGGGATAATAAAAGCTACTTCTTGGGCACTTATCACTGCACTTGGAATAAATTAAGAGCTCAATAAAGTTATTATTATTACTATTTTAATGACATTAATACCTTCCATGTTCGAAATCGAGCTCCTCATTTGGCCCCTTCAAATCATTAGGAACTTTGAGAGCATTTTTAACTATTACCATAGAGGAAGCTGGAAGATTTGTTTCCCCCTACAAATCTGTGTGTGGTGGGGCGGGGCGGGGGGCGGAAAGGTGTCCCAGGATCACTGTGAAAGGATTTTTTTTTGCAGAGGCAAGAAGTTCCTCAGAAAGAGCAAGGCCTTTCAGAGAGTCGACGCACAGTGGCCTCTCCAGGAAAAAGCACTGGTACAGAGTGAGTGAGACTTTCCCAAACCACAACAGGGCCAGAAGCGCAGGCCCCAGAGAACATGCAGGAAACGGGCCTCAAAGATCCTCTTCCTTCAGGGGCAGGAAGCAGAGAAGCTTTTCTCTGTGACACCCAGCCAGAGGAGACCTTAGCCTCTGGGCCACCACACTGATCCTATTAAAGACTACTGTTTGCTGAGGGCGGCTCTGTGGACCTAACATCTTCAAACTCCAGGCTGTGAGCCGCTGCCAGTGGGTAGTGCCAGGCTGGCCTGAAGGACATGTCATACCCTTCCTCTGTCCTTTGCTTTTGACACAAGGATTCCCTTTGTGTCTAATCTGTTACAATAAGATTCAGCTATTTAAAAATATTCCTGCTCTCTTATGAGAAGCGTTTTATCTTTATTCTCGATATCAGTCTCTATTTTTCAAATGCAGAAGGAGGTAAATGACTTGCCTAAGGTCAAAATATGGTAGGTGATAAAATGGAAGGTTCTCAACACCTAGCCTAGGAAACCTCTACCACCTCAGTGGTGTAAAACAGTGATGGTGGTCCCAAGGTAAGCAAGCAGAGTCAGCATCACCTGAGAATCAGTTAGAAGAAATGTATTCTCTGTCTACTGGGTCAGACACTTTGGGGTGGGGCTCAGCAACCTGTGGTTTCTCATGCCCTCCAGGTGATTTTGATTCAAACTAAACAACCTCTGTATTTAGTGTTTTTCCAGCCCTTGATGATAGGAATCACCTGGGGGGCGGCGCTCCCAAACATGTTTCCTTCAATTTACCTAATATGAAATTTGCTTAGGTCCCACCCATCTGAGTTTTGGGGGTTCTGTTGTTGTTGGTCTGTTTTTGTTTTAATTGCTCCTGGTAATTCTTAGATTGGGGCGAATTTAGGAAACTGACGATTCTGCTGCCTAGGGGCCCAATATAGGGAAGTTCTATGAAAGTCCCAAGAAAAAACACTGTAACTACAGACTCTTCCACTAGAAAAAGTAAAGTGTTGACTTTCCCTCCGATTCACTAACTTCACAACCGTGGGGAGACCCACCTAAATTTGCCCTCCTCTACCTCCGGGATTTTTAGAAGTCTGCTTTCCCGGGGTCAGGATGCAGACTCAAGCTCTCATACTGCACTTTGTGTAACATGGAAAGACCCAGCAGATAGTGGCCACTGCCTGAGTACACCTCTTTGAAAGAAAAAGGCTGTCAGAGTATTTGACTAAATTCAGTGGGTCGAGTTAACAGCTGTACTTCCAACCATTCTTCGCAATACTGGCCGGAGGAGGATCTGCACTTTTACAAAAGCATGTGGGGTGAAGAGTAGGGAGCAGCAGCAGCTGCCTGCCCTGGCAGGATGCCTCGAATCCTGTATGATGGAAATATGCCCAAGCTGCCTTAGGAACTGATAAAAACCCTACTGCAGGGAAAAGAGGAAGTCTCTTTGAGGTAACTGGGCTGCATGTGAGAATCACATAGGGAATTTTTATAAAACGTCTAGGCCCCAGTGCTGACCAACTGAATCAGAATCTCTAGGGGTAGGGCCGGAAAACTGGTATATTTAATTCTCCCCTAGTGGTTCAGATGTTCAGACAGGGTTGAGAACCAGTGTGTAAGCCTAATTAATTCTAAGATAAAAACAATCTCTCCAACCTCTGGAATTGGCCACTTCTTAAAACCACAATGAGACGGAAGGCCGGCCAGGGCACACCAAGTGTGATCAGTGAAAGCGTCCAATATCGCTCACCAGCCTCAGACTGGGTGTACACAGCCTACACCGCCCTGAAACCCACGCTCAGACTATTCCAGCTAGAAAGGTCACAGTCTACCAGCCGCGTTTTATTAGTAAGAAGAAACACACCCAGGCAAGTAGTAGGCCAAAGTCTCGCCTAGCAATTTAGAACTAGCCCGGGCCGACGCTGAAAACAGCCCCACGAAGGCAGTTCCCCGAGCCCGCCATGCAGACCGCCAAGGTAACGCCCGGGGCTGGGAGGCGCCGGGGCCGCCTGACGCC